GGACTGAATGAGAAAGCAGAAAAAAGTGCCATCCCAGGCCCTGCACAGAGTAAGTGCTCAGCTAAGGTGGAGGCCGTTTGGGGTGGAGCGCTGCTGAAGTTATGAAAATGGCAGAGAGGGACCTCACTGTCCCATGGGCCCTGGACGGGAAGCTGAGGGGTCTGGCAGGAGTGACACAGCTGCGTAGAGACCACCACACCCACTCCTCTGCCACCTCTGAGCTTTTAGGGCCCAGTCACCAGCCTCCCTGCATGACAGCCCTCACCCGGCTGCCACGACTTGGGTGTTCTCATCCTTGGCTCCAGTCTGTCTGGCGCCGCTGGCGGCATCTGATGGGACTCCGATTCATTATTTATTTCCTCTGGGGAGGCCTTTTCCACAGGCTCTGAGAACCACACTGACTGGACGGGGAAAGTGGGTGAGCAGTTCCTGGCTCCTTGGGGTCCCGCAGGCAGTGGGCCTCAGTCCCCACCATCCTCATGGCCAGCCCCATTTCATAGATGGGGGAAACTGAGGCTCAGAGACTTTAAGTTGGCTGGCTGTCCCTGCCAGGCCCTCAGAGCTGGGACTGCACCCCAGGAGCATTCCCTCTCATACCACGGTATGCACCCCACAGTGTGTAACTGGGGAGCCAGGGAGGGGCAGTGAGTTGGGAAGGTGTTTGGGCTAGTGGAAAAACCAGAATTTAGCTCTCCAGCCAGTGTGGTTAAAGCACAACCTTCCACATTGCAAGGACTTGAGAGCCGTGACTGAAACATAAGGAAACACACACCTTTCAGAGTTAGGCTGGGGTGCAGCCCAGTGCCAGAGCGCTTGCTTATCATGCGTGAGGCCCTGGGTCACAAACCCTACATTGCCAAAAAAAAGATAAGAAAACCCTAAAAACTAATAAGCTAGTCATGGTAGAAGGTTGGGAAGCTGACAGAACCTCCAAAAGGAAGTTGCTGGATGAGAACAAAGGAGCATTATTGATGATTTCTGATTTCTGTGTTCTCCCAGACTCTCTGGGGCCTGGAGATACGATTGTCCTTGTTTTTATTTCTGGAACTGTGGCTGCTGACCAGAGTGGGGTTGCAGGTGCTGACCATGGTGGCTGTGGGCCCCAGCAGATCTGCCCCGCCCCACCTCAGCTTGTCCCCTGCCTTTGGGCCTGGCGGGGACTGACAATACTGTGGCAGTGGCAAGCAAGGAGGGGACAGGCGTTCACGTGTGCATCGTGCCACAGACATCTGTGGTCCCTGTAATCCCATGGGCCAAGGCGGCCTGGGAACTACGGATACAGGCACACAGATAGGAGGGGCCAAGTTCTGCAGACTCAAAGCTCCGGATGGAGCAGCCAGGCCCAGGGTCTGAGGTCAGGCAGAGGGTTCCGCAGGCAGTGGACATCAGTGTGGCTGCCTGCTCCACCTTAGCTCCACCACGGCCCTGAGTCACCTCTGCCCTGCCCTGAGTGCAGGACTCTGCTCCTGCCCTGAGGCAGTCAGTCACGTTTTCATTCACTCATCGCCTACTCAGCTACTCCGTTTCCTCCTTCTCCCTCACTGTCCCCTTTACGTCTCAGCACCCCCTACTGTGGATCCCTTTACTTCTGCTCTCCTCTCTCCCTGGGGCCTTCTGAGAGTGAGGATGTAACAGTAGGACTGGCTTTGGCATTGGTGAGAGGCAGGGGCCCCCGACTGGATAAAGAATAGGAGCAGCCTCTGGCCTGAGTAGCTGTGCCCTGGAGCAGGGCCCCTCCTCACAGACCCTGCTGGCACTGGCCTGAGGATGGCCCCGTCTTATGCTGCTGTCTGACTTCAGAGAGCCCTCCAAGTACTTGGGCATAGGTCAGCTGCCAAGAGTTTTGCTGTCCTCTCCCTCCATGGATTGACTTGTTCCCTGCTCAGAGTGCCGGGGAGAGAGTGGAAATTGAGACCCAGAGTCCTCTCTGGGAAATAAGTGATAGTTTACTCATTTTTCTGACAAAAGTGAGTGTCAAGTTTAGAAAATAACAGATCTTAGCAACAAGGGTGGATCCTTCTTGTCAACTGTAAGAATAGATTAGGTGCCAGACATGATGGCACAAACCAGTAATTGCAGCACTCTGGGAAGCTGAGGCAAGAGGGTCACAAGTTCAGAATCATCCTGGACAACTTAGTGACTTAGCCAGCTGCTGTTTTAACATACAAAAATTAACATTAAATTAGCAAGGCAGGAGTGGTTTTTCCATCTTACAGAGGAAGACAAAGAAGTCTCAGAAGGCTCTCCCATAGCCAGAGTTTTTAAATAAATGACAGCCACCACTCAACCCCCAAGGGCTGGCTTCTCCTGGTTGTCAGAGCAGGGTAGGCTCCAATGGACTCCCCAGTCCCTCCTCACACCCACTCTGGTCACTGTCAGCGAGGAGGTGCAGTCCTTCCTGCCTTGTCCTCTGCACCCAGAGAGAGACAGACAGACAGGCAGACAGACAGAGAAGAGCCCTGATTCTCCTGGCCCTCCTGTGTGCATGAGGAGCTGCAGACTGGAGTTTCTGTGTCTGTTTTCTGTTTTTTCTTGGGGGGCGGTTACTGAGGGTTGAACCTAGGGCCTTCACACTAAGTTATACCCCCGGCACATTTTTTATTTTGAGAGCACAGGGTCTCACTAAGTTGCCCAGGTTGGGCTCAAACTTGGAATCCTCCTGCCTCAGCCTTCCCGCTGTCCAGTTCCATTCATTGCTCTTTATCTTGGGCCTTGTCCCAGGTCAGGGAGACACTAAGCTACCATTACCCTGTTCCCTACTGCCAGCAGCACCCCACGCTGTCTTCAGCCTGTCCTGACACCCTTCCAAAGCAGCCTGTGGCCTCTGATCGTACCTGCTCTGCACATTTGCTCCCACATCACCCATGCCTGAGTGTGGTGGAGCTGCTGTCCTGCTGCCTCCATGCACAGCTCAGCTCCAAGAGCAAGCACAGCTCTGGTGCAGCCCTGGAGCTTTATTTCCCCATTTCAGACATGGAGATGGTGGCCTTTTCAGGGTGAGGGACAGTCATAGCCAGCTGCAGCAACACCTGTCTACCTCTATGTCAGATCCAGGCAGCGCCCGGACCCTTTCCCTGGGACCCTGCTTCACCCATGCGGGTTGCGCCTGTGCACGTGTCAGGGGGGCTAAGTAGGTTAAAGGGAAACATTAGTGGTCCCCCTTGTGCATAGCACCGCTTTCTGCAGTTTTAGTTATCCATGCTCATCCAGTCTCAGTTTTGTTTTGTTTTGTTTTCCTACAGATTGGGGATTGAGCCTAAGGCTTTGTGCCTGCTAGAGAAGTGCCTTATCACTGAGCTAGACTCAAGCCCCCTTTTCATAGGGAAAAAATAGTTTTTTACTGTAGTATATTGTTGCAGTTGTTCCATCTCATTATTAAGTTGTTGTTAGTCTCTTACTGTGCCTGTTTTATACATTGAACTTTCTCATAGTGTTATATGTAGGAAAAAAAAAATCTCTATATGGTTGGGTGCCACCTATGAACATAGGCACCCACTGCAGGTCTTAGAACAGAGCCTCTTGAGGATTGGGGTGCTGTGGTCATGGATGCCAGGGGACCATGCCAGTTCTCGTGTTTTCTCCCCGCGCTCCAGGCCAGACCAGTGAAAGAAAGCTTCAGACTGGGTGCCAGGTGTGTGTGAGTCACAGACGCCCGGGTTCCAAACTGTGTAGATGAACACCGATGTGTTTGTGTGTATGTGTGTGGTTATTTTTTTATTTTTTGCTCCATTCCTCTCGTCATATTTTCCTATCCTCTGATCCAAGCTCTAAAAGCATTTTGTGGTAGAAAATCTCCCATCATCTGATCCCCTCTACCAAAATAAACCAGTTCCCCTGCCGTCATCTTCCCTGAAAAGTGCCCCTGCGTCATGCTCTGAGGCTGGCAGGGAGAGGCCTCGCCCCTTCAAAGCACTTCACCTAATCCCTCCGGCATGGCCAGTCCTCCTTCACTCCCTAGAGGGCTGCTTCGGTTTCTCGGGCTGTTATTACTGGAATGCCAGCTGCTCTGCTTCCAACCCGCCCATACAGACCTGCTGTGTCTGTCTTGGGCCTTGCAAGCCTCTGCTTAGCTCATCTCATGGAAATATCATTTAAAAAATAAACGCCAGTTCCATCTGCTCTTCCCTCCTGACTTTGCTGTGTCTCTGGCCCTCTCACCCCTAGCATTGATTGATCTGTTACAGTGCTGCCATCTCCCAGAGTCCTCCTGCCTGTTGGTAGCTGGCTGTTCACCCACTCCCAAGTGCTGGGATTACAGGCGTGTGCCACCACGCCCGGCTGAGGCCTTGGGTTTCATCACTCACACTGGGGGGAATAAAAAGAGTAAACTACAAACTTATATCCTACTATAAGTTTTCTGATAGCTACAGAGTGCTTTTGGTGCTTGCCTTGTGGTACCCTTGCAGTTATTAGCATGATTATCAGCTTATTAGCCATCCCACAGGCGGTGCATGCTCCTGAGGTTGGTTTCCAGACCAGTGCTGCCAATTCAGCCCGCTGCCAATCTCAGTCAGGCATTGGGCCTGGCTGTCAGCCTGGCCTTCAAGTCCTAGGATTATCACTTCCTGGCTATTGACCTTGGGCCAGTGGCACTGCCTTTCAGACTCTCCATCCTTTCAACTTGCAAGTGGGATCATCCAGAGCCAGTAAAGTTAGAGTAGAGATTGAGACCACCTTGGCTCCAAGGTCAAGGCATGACTGAGTTTAAATCACAGCTCTGCCACTTTACTTAACAAACTTTGGGAAGTGATGGCTAAGCCTCAGGTTTCCTGCTGTGAAATCAGTCTAGTAATCCCCCTCCTAACTCAGAGGACCCATACGGAAATTAAAGGTGCTGAAGTTGGTGGTTATCACTCTAATTCTTCACCATCCAGCAAGTGGTTTTCTTTGAGCCCTGAGGGCAGCATAGTGGCTGGTGGTCATGGGGCAGGGGAGGGGATCTGCCTCGGGCTTCCTCCAGCACTGACCTCTGATGTGTACCCTCCCCACCCCTCATTCAGATCTGTGCAATCATTGGTGGGACCTTCACCGTCGCTGGCATCCTGGATTCCTGCATCTTCACAGCCTCCGAGGCCTGGAAAAAGATCCAGTTGGGCAAGATGCATTAACGTCCCGCCTGGTCCGACGGCCAAGGACTGGGGAGACTGCCAACCCTGCCTCTAGCACCCTGTCTCTCTAGCCCAGGATCTGGCTGCATCCCAAAGTGTGTGGGGGAGGTGAGGGAAGGGAAAGTGGGTGGCTGAAGGTTCCTCGGCTACCTCTCTTCCCCACATTACATTTTAGATAAATAACACTGGCTGCAGTTGTGATGTTCCTTTCCCCCAGGAGCTCCAAGATGAGAGTCAGACAAGGGGTGTGCTCTAGGAACGTTGGGTACCATTTCTGGAAGGGCAACAGTCCTTTCTTCTTAGGGAGCAGCCTAGAATCCTTGTTGACCAGCTGTCAACCAGGCTGTGACAATCTTGCTGTGTTTCCCTTACCCAGTTTGACACACTAATCACGTGGTTTCTCCCCTGGACCGTCAATCTGGGCTCTCTGCTTGGACCAGACTGCCCAAAGGTACTCCTGCTTAGAGCCTTCGATGCAGGATGGCTCTTCCCGGACAAGCTCCTGAGGTTTGACATTGTAGCTGGGACTCTCACTTCCTCCCCATCCGTCCCTGGCCAGGCCTCATATCCCTTATTCCTATCCCTGTCTGGTTCTTCCAAGAAGCATGTGCCCATTGCTCGAGTGATCTGCCTACTGGTCACAAGGTGGGTCACAGACTCCTCTCCTCTCCTGTCTTTGTTCCCCTGAACCCCCACCAATGTGCCTCTGCCGCTGTGCTGTGTGGTACTGGCATTGCTTGGTGGAAAGGCTGATTCCCACTGCCAGGTCCCTCCATGGCTCTGTTGGGACCTGCAGTGGCAGGAAGTGATAGAAGTCACCCTGGGAGAACCAGATAGATGTCGTTTATGCACTTAGTCCACAAGGGAAGTATCCTTCCCTGTAAGCCTCCAACAACCATGTCTCAGCCTCTTCTGGGCAGCCAGAATTGGTTCTAAAGTCTTAGCTGAGGGAACAAAGTGGACCAGCCCTTCTTCTCCCTTTGGAGCTCCCCATCCCAGGCTCCCCTTCCAGGGATGCCCCGCACTTGGACCTCTGCAGCCCAGGATGGTCCAGGTGCCATTGAATTCCCTTGCTAGCTGACCACACACCACATTCCCCCTGGGGCGGTGGACTCCAGTGTTTCCCATGTGCTGCTGAGGTGGGTTCCTCCACTGCTGCTCCCCCTCACTTGTCCCTTTGTGTCCCGAAAGGGAGGGGCAGTGGTCCAGGCATGAATTCCACCCAGGGAATTTTAGCTATGCCCTCATGTTCCAGGGAAAGTGCCCTGCCGCCTGTTTTTCATTTATATCGAGATTGTTTGCATACTTTTATAATGAGGGGGAGTTTCCAGTAGAAGGACTTTTTAAAATTATCTATAAGGGATAGCTCAAGTCTCTGCCATTTGTAAATCTTGGCTCTGATTCCAATTAGCAAAGCTGTCCCTTTTGCATATGAGTTAACTAATGTGTGTATAGAATGCTGTTGGCTATTTCTGGTATCTCTGGCCACTTGGGTTTTTTGGTTTTTTCATTCTGTTCCCTGGTTATAGAAAGGAGCCCGTCTGGTGTGTGAATATGTGCACCTGTAGAGGGTGACAGGGTGGGGTGGGGGTGGAAAGTGTGTGGCACACACGTGAGTTGAAATCCAACTTTTATGTATTAAAAAAACAAAACTCTGAAGATATGGGGGATGTCAGTTTCCTATGGAAGAGACACCTCTGACCTGTTACCCTTACAAACAAAAATCTCAAGGGAAAAAAAAATGTTTTAGTCCTTTCTCCCCTCCTTGGGTTCAAATAGATTATTAAAATGCTGATTTTCGGAAGTAATGCTGTGTGATTCTTTCGGCCTCGGTTGTGGCTGGGGAGCTGGGAGGAAGAATCAGTCAGAATGGAATTTAATTCTAGAAGACAGATTTGGAAATGTTGAAAAAAAAAAGATCTGTTGGAAACCAGGAGAATCATGTAGGATACTTACTTCTTACCCTTTGACCCTTGAGCAATTCCAGTCATCTTTGTCCTGGCGAGATCATGTCAGCTAAGGGATAGGAAAGACTCTAAAGAAGGGGCTTATTGTGAACACGTTAGGCTATTGGCACCCCAATTGCATACATTGATAAACAAGAGGAGGAATCATGGTATCATTGTAGTCCCAGGGCAGGCAGCTCTGAAATGCTGGACACTTAGACTCCAGATATTTGCAGGACCCAAGTTGTGCTTAAATATTTATCAGAAACAAAAGAATCATATTTCCTGTTTGTGCTATTTTTCTTTTCTTTTGGTGGTGTGTGGGGGGGTGCTAGCAATGGAACCCAGGACCTCAGGTATACTAGACAAGTTCTTGCTGAGCTACACCCTTAGCCTGCTGGCTCAAATACTTAAGATTATTTTCTATGTTGGGCAATTCCAGTGCAAAACAATAAAGCAAGACAGGAGGTGGCAGGGGAGGGTAGATTCATGGAGATTATCAGAAAGTCAAGACCTCTTGGGTTTTTTGTTTGTTTGATTTTCTCTCTTAAATTCTTTTATTGGTACATTTTAGGTATACTGTACATTTACATTCATCATTAGGAATATGCACCTTCACGTGACTATCCTGGTTCTTATTTTTTCCCCATTCCCCTGCCCTCCCTTTAACTCCTCCACCCTTCCCTATTTGCAAAAGCTCTGTTTCCATTTATTTCTTATCTCAAATTTTTTTCCTTTCACTTTTTTCCTTTCCCCTACCCCTCCTACTTCCTCTACCTCTTAGCACCTTTTCTTCCTATTTCACATACAATGTTACTAGGGTTTTGTTGTTGTTGTTGTTCTTGTTGGCCCCAGGATCAAACTCTGGACCTTCTGCTTGCGAGGCAGGTGGCAGCACCACTGAGTTAAATCCTCGGCCTAAGATCTCTTCGGTTTTGGGTTTTGGGGTTTTTTGTTTGTTTTGTTGTTGTTGTGGTACCAGGGATCAAACTTGAGACCTTGCACTTGTGCAGTGCCACTGAGCTAAATCCCCAGCCCAAGACCTCTTAGATGAAACTGTTCCTTTTTTAATCCCTGAGAATGTTCCTGGGACTGCCACTTTCTGGCTGTATAGCTTCAATCTGGGTCCTTAACCTCGGTTTCCTTTAAGTGGAAATGGGGATCGTAAAACAAGTATATCATAAGATTGTTATAATCTACTACTGGATCATTAAATGTGAATTAATTATACAGATAATACATGCTTATAAGCCCTCTGGAGGAAAATCAGAGAATACTATAAAGTTAAAAAAAAGAAAACAAAATTAAAGTCACCCTTAAACCCAGCCATCAGAAGTAGTCATTAACATTTTAGGGATGCCTTTCTGTAAACAAAATAGGATCATATTGTGGTTATTATTTTGTAATTTCACTTTTTGGTGATTGATAAACATCTTCCTAGAAGGCCAGGGATTTAGCTCAGTGGTACACCCACCTGCCAAGAAAATCTTAACTAGGTTAATAAATATGGGACTTCCCCACCCCCTCTTTCTGGTAGGGCTGTAACTCAGGGCCTGGAACATGCTAGGTAAACACTGTACCATTGAGCCACATCTCCAGCCCTGAATCTCATCATTATCTTTCCTTGCTGCAAGATAACAAATAGCTGGGTGTGGTGGCACGTGCCTGTGATCCCTGCACACAGAAAGGAGGAAGGAGGATCACCGTGAGTTCAACGCCAGCCTGAACTACGTAGAGACCCCTTCTCAAAAAAAAAAAAA